GGGGACACTGTCTCCCCTCATAAATAAAAATTCACCATAAAGCACCCCCTGCATGTTTCCAGCTGTCATCCTCTTGCCTATGGTAGCCATCTGTAGTGAAACTGCATTAAGGAAAACTTTACTCAGCTTTCATGTAGATAGGAAGTGGCATGGCCATTCTAAAAAGGAGAGGAATGATTGTTCCTCTCATGTGAATAACTGGGTTTTTCTTTTCTTTTCTTTTTTATTTTGAAAGGTAGAGTTATGGCGAGGCAGAGAGAGAGGTCTTCCATCTGGTGGTTCATTCCCCAAATGGCCACAATGGCTGGAGCTGTGCCAATCTGGAGCCAGGAGCTTCTTCTGGGTTTCCCACGTGGATGCAGGGGTCCAAGGACCCGGGCCATCTCCTACTGCTTTCCCAGGCCATAGCAGAGAGCTGGATCAGAAGTGTAGCAGTCAGGACTTGAACTGTTGCCCATATGGGATGCCAGCACTGCAGGCAATGGCCTTACCTGCTATGCCACAGTGCCAGCTCCAAACAACTGGGTTTCCATCTCATCTGAGTGGTGGAGTGGATGGATGGGTGAGAGAGCCTTCTTCCTCCTGGGCCATACAGCTTTTCTTTGAGGTATTTGACCCAGCACATGGAAATGAGTGGGCAAATAACTGGACCAACCAATGCTTTACAAACAGGTTGATTTTATTGAGTAGGCATCACAGCTTCTCTGTGTCAAGTAATGGAGAAGCTGCGTCACACGGATTACAGAGCTATTTTTACTTGAAATCATCTTCCATAAAAGAAAGAAATTAAATACAGTTCTTCTAGAAAAAGGGCCGCAGTCGTTAACTGGAAGTGTTCCAAAATGACAGCAAGATCTACTACATATTGCAAAAGTCGGTTTAGTACTTTAATACTTGACAGAGTCCCAACCCTCCCCCCCCCACCCCAGGACAGCTCCCACAGTGCGTTTCTGCTTTGAGGATGGACCACACTGCAAAGAGCATCTGACTGAATCAGAATTAACACTCGCAAGTAGAAAAGGGTTCTGGACACCTTGGTCAAAGTAGTGTGATGGATGACCCATTTTGCCTCTGTGGTTTTGTTTTGTTTTTGTCTACAGTCATCAAATAAATGGGAGGAACCAAGCAACAAAGGTTCATTCCCAAATCAGTGAAATTAACAAGAACAAAACACAGGGAAAGGAGAGAGGAGCGGGACAGTCACCGACTTTCTCAAAGGGCGGAGCGCAGGTTCTCGGGGAGGAGCAAGTGCAGGTGTCCTCCGCTATGGTGAACTCCTACAAGCCTCAGTGAACAGAGCCAATTTCATCAAAGGTGGAGGTGAATGGCTCCCAGGCTCCACAGGTGAGGCAGTGAGCGGTTTCTGGGAGCTCCGTCCCCGTGTGGACCCCGAAGCCCCCTCTCTCCTACCAGCTCCTTTCTGTGTACGACAAACAGCCCAGCATGTCCCTGCCAGGAGCCCAGGGAAGACCAGCGTGGCTCTGGCAGCGTGGGGCTTGCCTCTGTGTGCACGTGCCGAGCCCCCCGCAGGTGCGCACAGTTATCTCACTAGCTTTGATCTTGCTCGAGGGAGACAAGCTGCCCCCCTCCCACCTGCAAACCCTAATTCCTCATTGATTTGGTGGTTCAGTGTCTGCAAGCAGAAAGCTGTGCCAACAGGCAGACAGTGCTCCCTGGGCACCTGCCACGGGGAGGGGAAGGGTTTGCGTGAGCCCAGGCTCTGTCCGGGCAGCAACACAAGGGACAGCATTTATGTGGCAAGGCAAACGCAGGGACGCTCGCTTGTTGGCCCTCTCCCTGCCCGCAGAGCATCTACAAAGGGGGTGGTCCTTATGACCACGAGAGACCCTAACACACAGTATCCAGAGAGATGGCAAGAACATAGGAGAGGATTAAACAGAGGACAGAGCTTTTGAATTAGGGCACAGTAGGACAAAGATCTGATAGGAAGCTTGTAACAGTATTTTGCCAATGACTTCTAAGAGGAAAATATGTTTGGCCAAAGGACTTAGAAGTAAACGCCAAGGTTAGGCAGTTGTGAAAACCCCTGGCGGGAGGAGGCAGCTCAGCGGCAGGGCCGGGCAGCCCTGGCTGTGGGTGATGTCACTGTGTGTGCAGTGCCAGAGGCTGCCATGCAGGGACCTCAGCCCAGGGAGGTGCGTGTTGCTTGGCTCCATGGGGTCGAGGCTCTGGCCCTCCGTGCACACTGTGGACACCCAGGGACCTGGGCTCGCCCGGCTCTGTCACTGTTGCCACCCACCTGCCCTGGTTAGTCTGGGTGACCTGCCCCTCTTCCTCTGTGGCCTTGCTCTTGGGGGCTGGAAGTGGGTCCTTCTACAGGGCAGGTGGCCTCCTTCCTGTGGGCTGAGCCATCCGCTGCCAGCTGGTTTGAACTGGGAGGGATGGGAAGACACCCAAGGATGGGTTACGAGGGCTTCTGTAGAACAGTCCAGGTCTACACTGACTGGTGGAGGGGCGTGAGGGAGCCCACGGCAGTGCACCTGACTGGGAGCTACCCCGGAGGAAACCATTTCCACCTCCGCTGCAACAGCTGAGCCTCCCCCAGCCCAGGGCTCCCTAGTGGGAAGACGGTCAGGGACACCTGCTGCCCCCAGGTGGACGTGCCCACAGCCGGCTGTCACGAGCTCCTGGGCTGGGGCAGAAGCCGAGTCACCGTTCAGCTGAAGTTCTCCATGGTCTGGACAGGCGGAGAATCGGGGTTTGAGGAAAGATGTCAAGTTAGCCACTTTCTTCAATGAATACTTATCTAGTGCCCAATACGTGACAGGCATTGCTGTAGGCACCAGGGTGCTTCAGGAACAAGACCTGCCCCCACGGAGCTTACAGCCTGTGAGGGCTTGAGGGGCATAAAATGAATACACAGACAATTACAGTCGCAGTGCTCAGATGGGGCAGGTGCGCAAGCTGCACCGGGAAGAGGGAGGGAGGACGTGCAGGGAGGTCCTTGCTCGGTGAAGGGTGGCGCTGGAGCAAAGATTGGCAGGTGGCGGAGAGGGAGCTGTGTGACTCGCTGGAGGAAAATGTTCCAGATAGAAGGAACAGCAAAGGCCCTGAGGCAAGGGGCTGCCTGGTGGCTGCAGATGGTGTGCGTGTGTCCTGGTCGGAGAAGTCCTGGGCTGGGGGCGGTCTTTGTGAGCACGTGGCTTTTGTGATGGGAGACCCTCTCTTCAGCAGACCTGCTCGCAAACAGCTGCCCTCCTTCTTAGTCCTTGCTGCTTGGGTCTCCGGCAGGTTCTGCCCATACATGTCTTATTCTTAAAACCAACAGATACTCCACCGTATGTTAAAGTATATAATTTATATGTCTCTATGTCTATATATTTATCTCTTTGAGATACTTTTGTGGAGGAATAAAAAAGTATAAGCAATGTGCATCATTTTGTGTGTATATATATATATATAGGGCTGATGGGCATCCTCTTTTTTTCAAGAATAATATAAATGCAAACATCAACAAATCCTTTTGGAAAACGAAGAGAAAGGGTTCTCTTCCTAGCGTGTCTGGAGAGAATGGCCTAGGTGCTGTCCCTGTGATGCGATGTTTTCATCTCAGCCTGGTCAAGCGAGGGTCTCCATGGTGCACGGATGGCCCTCAGGGGTCTCTCCCCTGCTGCTGCTCTCCTCTGCCTGGGGGTGGGGTTGAGAGGAGGACATGGTCTTCTGGGAAAGCAGTGACCTGTATGACTAACACATCACCTGCACACTGCTCGGGCCCTCGGAAAGCCTGCATTGCAGTGTGGTCAGCGCTGGAAGTGCTCGTGGCAGTGGGGCCTCCTGGGGTGAGCAGGGCACTCTCAGCATTTCGGGTGCCTGCTGGCCTCTCTGGGACAGACCGGCCTGGCCCCGGCCACCCATCAAGCACACAGCACTGCAGACACTCGCGGTGGGCCAGCAGCGGCAGTGCCGTGCAATGAGAGGAGAGAGCTAAGGCCACTGCGGCCTCGTTGCAATGGGCCAGTTCCATTAGAAGTGAAAGGGGAGGCAGCACCCAGAGGTCTCCAGAGAGCTACCACTGGGCTGCAGGTTCCTGGCACCAGGGGCTCCAGCCACCTATGGGGTCTTCACCTGGTGTTCCTGCCCTGGGGAACTGGACTCGCAGCCCTGCAGGGCTGAGGGGGGAGCTGATGAGGTCAGACAAGGCAAGATGTGCCAAACCATGGAGACATATTTTTTTTTACTTGTTGGAAGTGTTAGGGAAATAACACAGGAGGAATGCGATTTGTAAAGTCCACATGGAGATGACGAAAGTGAAGGATCAGGTCAGAAAGGGGGCCCCAGCCGGCAGTGGGCACCGGCAGCTTTACCCCAGGTCACCTGGCAAATGAAAGGACTCACACAGAATGCAACTTACACACACAAAGGTTTGGCAAAGTCTTTTTTTTTTTTTTCTTGCACAAATTCCCTCCACTGATAGGTACAGCCCTTTTTCTTAAATAGTGTGAAATATATTTTGCTAGGTCAAGTTTGTTTTTGCAAAATAAGCTGTGGACACAAAGGCAGGGAAGGCAATTGTAGCCACGGCCCTTCCCCAGGGACGAGGTGGGGGCCCTGCATGAGGGGTGCACCTGGGGGTGAGGTGGAGAGTCCATGTATCTTTAGCCACCAAAATCCTGACAGTAAGCTACTGGAGTTGAGAAATCATTTGGAAAACATTCAATTTGTAAAGGAATAGATTCAGACGCCACCAGGTAGAACTAGGGAAGTTCACAGTAATCTTGTGAAGGTCAAGGGTTCACTAGAGAGGAAAGGTGCAGAACCAACACCCATGAACCAGAGAAAGAAAATCAGTTTCAATTGAAAAGGAAAAGACAGTTACACAGTCCCACCTCCAGGGGGCGTTAGCACAGACCACAGAAAGCACTGAAACCCCAGGAGCCCCCAGCAGGGCCCCTGCCCACCTCCTCACCCTTCCAAGGACAACCCTGCTACAACAAGGGTGCAGAATATTGCTCTGCGGCATGTTCTGAAATCATATAAAAATAATTTCTTTGTACAGATTAAGTTTGGCTTGTAAAATTTCAACGTAATGCAGCACAAAATCTACAAACAGAATACACGAAAACACCTTTCCTTAACAGTATATTATTATTATTTTAAAAAAGCATTTACCTAGTGGATGCATGTGCAGGAAATGTGAACCTCCACAGGGGTTTAGAAGTATCTGGATCCTTCTGGAAACTTGTTGTCACTTAGAGACAGGGCTGCTTCCCACACAGGGAAGCTGGGCCAGATCGGATAGGCGGGGTCTGCCAGGGCGGCCACAGTCATGGACCCAGTTTCTAGCAGTCCTGTCTCATGAGGTCATGGGGTCATGGGGCCTCTGACCAGAGCTTCCTGAACGACATGGCCGTGCTGTCCGTCACAGGCCCAGCACACACAGGGCTGGTGCTTGCACCCCGGCACTGTGAATACTGTTTGGAGGAAGGCCAGGTGCACTTCCCTCACCAAAGGAAATGGCTGCTCTCAGTGACATGGAGGCAGAGTTACGTGCCAGCTGCCAGGTGCCCCGGCGTGGCTGGCCTGCCTGGTGACCGGCCAGGGACTGATCTCGGGCTCCTGTTCATGGTACAGATGGTGGTGGGCGGAGCTGACTTAGAGATGCCAGGAGCCAGAATAGGTCATGAGTTAAAAAAAAATACTCACACAAAAGATTACTCTGCATGTGGAAGGTTTCCCTTTATGACAACAGACCACATTTATTCTCAGTTCCCATATATTTATTTTTTGAACCTGGCAGAGAGCATGAGAAAAAACAAAAGATTTGCTTAGCTGGTTTTGGAAATTTCTTGTTGGCTGTTTTAACACTATAATAAAAAAAAAAAATAAAAAAAAAAACCTTACTTTATGTTTCCTGCCTGCCTGTGTGCTGAGCTTGGTGTCTGGATGCACATTTACGGAGCGGGCTTCCTGCGGCCTCACAGCGCTGGCAGCGAAGCAGCTGCCGGGAGACCCGAAGAATCAGAGCAGAGGGCTGCCACAGGCCCTCAACGGGAGCATTTACAACCACAGCCAGACCAGGTATGTGGGTGCTGGGAACGATCACACCTTGAAAGTATCATTCAGCATGAAAAGTAAAACTTGGGGGAAAAAATAACTTCTTAAAGCGTTTGTTTCATAAATAATTTCGATTCGAGGAACCACATGTGCAAAACTTGAATAAATTATCCAAAAGTCCACATGCTGTGGAATAATGAAAAACAAAAAGAATGACAGGAGATACTCAGTTGTTTTATTGTAACTCTTCAAACAGGTAAAAAACCTAAAGGCCCCTCCCCATTTCCTCTTCCCCGCGTTCTTCGCGTGGGCTGTGGGCCGCTGTGCGCGGCTCCCGCGGAGAGGGGCGCACTCCGCCGCGCCGGGCGCCTTCCCCGTCTTCCCCGGGACGCGCAGAGGCGGCGCTAAGGCTCTCGCAGGTTTGAAAGGATGCTTCTGTCGGTGAGGATTTGTACCCTTCTTACCCAGCTTCCCTTGGTGAGGCGGGTTGCGGTCCTCGGTGTCCTTGGCCGGGACCGGCGTTCTCCAGAGGTAATCTTGGAAGCAAGAGGCTGCATATTGCTGCTCGGAACAGGGTAGCTAAGGACACATTTTTGTTATTTATTTATTTCCTCAAGAAATGTTAGGAGGCACCAAAAAAAGAGACCGTTCAGGGATTTGGCTGCTCGTTCCATGTGTTCCGAAGCCAGGGGCAGGGCCCCATCACCTGGAGCCCCGCTACCTGGCTGAACCCAGACAGGTGCAGGTGGGTGTGTGTGTGTGGGGGGGCTCCTTCCCGGCTTCCCTCCGCCCCTTCCCTTTGGAAAGAGGGGCAGCCTCGTGGGGGCTCCGCAAGGGGCCCCAAGGGGTCACCGCCCGACTCCTCCCTGGCCGTGGTGGCGACTGTCGGCTGCAGGAGGCTCTGGTGCCCAGATCTGTGCGGGGGCTGCCCCGCCACAGGCAACCCCGAGTCGTGAGTTCGGACCCTGTGTGTGGGAGGCTCGCGTCCCCGGAGCTGCCCGTCCCTGCGCCCCGCGAGGTAGTTCGTCCGGGGCCGCTCCCCGCGGCTGGCCCGGCGCGCGGGGCCGCTGTCTTCCCGAAGCGCCGCGGGAGGCCGGTGGTGGGGGGCCCGCACCCCGGCCCCAGGCCGCGCGCTTGCTCTTAAACCCTGGGCGCCGCCAACCGCACACGAGTGACCGCTCCTTGGAAGAGGTCAGTCGCCGGGTCAGGGTTAAAAAAAAAAAAAAGAACCAGAAAAAAAAAAAAGGCATGTAAAACACTCCCTTCTAAAAACAAAGGGCTGCGAATTTCTTTATTTCTCTTTTCGAGGAACAAAAATACTCTGGCAATGGCTATTGAGTTTCCACGGTTACGAGGCAGAGGCTACGCCAGCACACCCACTTCCGACAGTATGACTTGTTTCCTATCCGTCTACTACCTGAGTGGCGTCAGTGTAGGTTCAGGCACCATGAGAACGTTTGACCAAACACGTACACAGCACTGACGGAGGCGGCGCCGGCCTCCGGGCGGACCAGGGCGCGTAGGAGAGAGAGCCACCGGCGGGGCGCAGAGGGACCCGCGCGCGGGCGCGCCGCGCGCTCAGGGCCGGGCCGCGCGCGCCTCGCGCCGCCGCCGCAGCTCCTCGCGGTAGCAGTAGGAGCAGTAGTGCTCGGTCTCGGCGCGCCCGTAGAAGGCGCAGTTCTCGCGCTGACAGCGCCGCTGCGCCGGCCCGGGACCCCCGCCGCCGCCCTCACCGTTCGAGCGCGCGGCCGGCGCGTCGGCGTCGGCGAACTCCAGGCCGTCGCGCGCCGCGCCGAAGCCGTTGGTGTAGGTCTGCGACTTGGGCTCGGCCGCGCTCGCGGGCCCCGCGGCGCCCGGGAGGGTCGCGGGCCCGGTGCGCGCCAGCGACTCCACCGTGTTGACCGTGCGCAGCGCGGCGGCGCGGGCCGGGCTGTAGGTCTGCGACGACAGCGAGCGGTTCTGCTGCGGGTACGTGGCGCAAGGCCGCAGCGGGCCCACGGCCGGCGTGCACGCCTCGTCCCGGGCGCCCGCCGCCTGCACGTGGATGACGCTCTGGCGCGCCGGCGCTGGCGGGCTGCGGCCCGGGGCGGGTCCGCTGGCGCCCGCGCGTCGCGCGCCGCCGGGGCCCGGGGAGGCCGCGCCGCCCGCTGCCGCCCTCGCCGCCCTGGAGCCCGCCGCAGGCCCGGGGCTCGGGCGCTCCTTGAGCTTGAGCACCAGCTGCGTGGGCTGCCCGGCCGGCGGGCCCGGCGAGGCGCGCTCGGGGCCCGGCGCACCCTCGGCGTCCGGCCTGCGCGGTGGCCGCTTGGCTGTGGAGGAGGAGGACGACGAGGCGGCGGCGGCTGCCGCGGCCGCGGCGGCGGCGGTGGCGGCGTCGCGGCGCCGCTGCTCCTGCTCGGCGCTGAAGCGCTCCTGCGCGCTGGTCAGGTAGTAGCCGATCATTTCCTCGTGGAACTGGTGCCGGTGGCTGGTGAGCAGCAGGCCGGCGAAGATGAACTTGCGCTCGCCCTGCATGGCGGCGCGCAGGATGTTGAGGCTCAACTTCACGTCCGTGCTGTACTTCCAGGCGTCGCCGCGCGGCCCGCCGCCCTTCTCGGCCGGCGACGCGCCCGCGGGCCTGTCGGTGGGCGACGGCGTGGTCTTCTCGGACGGCGACGTGCTGGCCGACGCGCCCGACTCCTCCTTGCTGCCCTTGCGCGCCTTGGCCTTCTTCTCCTTGGCGCGCTCGGGCGCGTCGCCGTGCTTGCCGTTGGCCGAGCCGGCGCGGCCCATCTTGCCGTGCACCAGGCCGCCCAGGCCGCCCATGTTCTTCTTGAGTTTGCTGCCCAGCGTCTTGCTGAAGCTGCCCAGCTTGTTGGCCACGGAGTCCGCGCGCGTCTTGTCCTTGTCCTTGCGCTGCTTCTCCTTGTCCTTGTCCTTACCGTTCTTGCCGTTATTGCTGTTGGAGCTGCTGCACACCGAGTCGCGGTCCGAGTCCAGCGAGTCGGCCAGGGACTGCACGTCCTCGCCCGCCGAGGCCGTCGGGGACTCTGGCTGCGCCAGGGGCGCCTGCGGGCAGAGAAGGCGAGTTAGGGTTAGGACAGCTGGCCTGCCCTGTGCTATGTGAGGCTGACGCGAGGCCCCTGGTATACGGGGTGCTTATGGGGAGTGGGGGGGCTGCCCTGCAGGTGTAATGGACAGACAGGTTTGCCGGCGTTTGCAGAAGGCTCTGGGAACCGCCCCACCTGCCCGTGCCATCTGGCCCTGTGGTCGGGGCGCACTGCCTCTCCTGGAACGCTGAGTCGGGACTGCGGGTAGGGTAAGATAAGGCCCCTGGCTTTGAGCCTCACAACCTGGCACACTGGAGAATTCCCGCGTCTGGCCACAATGCCTGCTTGACCACACGGAAGCCTCCCCCTCCCCTTGCTGGCCTCTGTTTATAAAGTTCAAGGCCTCCAGGTGGGGATGGCGTCTCACTTGCACAAAAGGTTTCTCCTACAAAGATGGTCTTCCTCCCGCCGGGCAGGAGGATATAGAACTCTGGCCCTCAGAACCCCATTTCTTGGATCACACACCACTGGGATTCAGCCATGGCAAGTTGTCTTAGGGGTTCCTTTCTGAGTGTGGCCATGTGAGGTGGCAGTTGGAGAAGGACTCTGGGGTAGGTCTGGGTAGAAAAGATGCTGCCATTGTCAGACTTGGCCTCCTGTGGGGGTGGACACTGGGGGTGAGACCCCCTGACCCTGCTCAGGCAGCCAGGAGGGCATGGCCGGAGGGAAGGGGCCGGGGGCCAGACCAGGATCTGAGGGTTTGTGGAGGGTGCAGGTAGCACCTACTGCTGCTCCGTGGAGAGACCATCCCAGGGGAGCAGAGGATTTGAACTAGCATCACTGGGTGATGGGTGCCGTGGCAAAGGGTCCTGTCTGAGCTGGCTCTCTAGGGCTGCTGAAGAGGAGCCTGGGAGAAGGCTCATTACCTCCCACCCTCAAGCAGGTCCAAGAGAGGGTTGACTCTTGGAGCTGAGTCACCCAGAAGGCAGGGTGCGTGGGACCGCCTAGGCCTCATCACCATCTGTGGGCGGTGATCCCATCTGTGGGTGGGTGACTGGCTCGTGCCCTCTGTTAAATGGGGCGGCGGCGGCAGCCTGCGGCAGCCCTGTGAACACTGCAGGTAGAGCGGAAGTGGAGCCTGCTCTGAGCACCGCCCAGCAGCACCCAGGTGCTGGCTCTGTGCCAGGTACTTGCAAGGCCTCCTTAGGAGCCCCAGTTCACGCCCAAGTACACTGGTGTCTGGGCAGGGCCAGTTATTTGCAAGTTGTTTTTACAAATCCCTTGCCCTGGGAGTGGACCACTGAGATTACACAAACATCGGTCAGCCTCTTGGAGCCCTGGCAGCCCCTTCTGCCATCCCCCAACCCAGCCAGCTCTGCCTCCCAGCGCGCTGCCTCGGCTTTTCCAAGGACCCACACACAGCTGGTAATTAATCTGCTCTGCGGCTGCACGTTGTGTTCTGATCCCAGCAGAGATAGCTTTGTGTTGTGACTTGCCTACGGTTTGTTTTCTGAGTGGGCGTGTTTATGCCTCTCCTGCAGAAAGTAAGGGGACACGTGCACACGTGTGCGCACACACACACACACACACACACACACCCCTCCCTGAGATGCATGCTCTGCCCGCATGCATTCGCGCTCCAGGCTGGGCACGGGGGTGGGGACTGCCGGGCTGCAGGCGCCCCTGGAGGCGAGCGGCCTGGCAGGGCTCACCCGGGTCTCAGAGGGGATCCGGATCCACGTCACATTCATGTAGCTGTGCAGGAGGCTCAGCTTGGCTTCTAGAGACAGGATGAGGCTGGTGAGAGAACACATACCCAGTGAGCGGGCTGCCCATGCGCTTGCCGTCTGTCCCCGGGGGAGCCCAGCCCATGGGGTGAGGAGGGGGGGCGGGGTCTTACTGGGCCAGCCGGGCGTTGTCCTTGTCGTCTTTCCCCCACTCCCAGTCCTTCCCCGGGTCCACTGCGAAGTGCAGCGGCAGCAGCTTGTGCTCGGAATCCGTCAGGGGGATCACGGCTGCAACAGAGGAGACGGGGTGCCAGGCAGCTCCTAGGCCCAGGCCCGGGAGCCCTGGCACTCCCCAGGGAGGACCAGGGGGTCTCCGTGCTGAGTCAACCCCATGGACGCCTACAGGCGCATCGGTGCCACAGGAAGAGTAGAAGCAGCAGCGGCCCCCCAGAAGCTCTGCGGTTTTTTGCAGGTGTTGAGGGGCGGCTGGAGGCAGCCCCATGGCAGGTCCCCACTGGGCACTGGGGTGGGAAGACGCTATTGCTGCTCCTGGGGTTGCTGAGGAAGGACCCTGTAGGCTGAGACATGTGGGGCGTGGCCTCCTTGCAGATGGCCTGGGGCTGGGCCCATCTGCTGACCTCTACTGGTTCATGACTTGGGGACACATGTCTGTGTCAGTGCCTGGGACCCATGGAGCAGCCCAGCCTCTTCCCGGGGTGGGGAGGGGAGCTCATCTGGGCTGGGTCCACTTAAGCAGGTGGGAAAGCCCCGGTGTCAGGGAGAGGTGAGCCCGGGGAGGAGGAGAGGCGAAGGGCAGGTAGGAGGTCTTCCTGGAGGTGCAGGGGAGTATGGAGAGGGGGCTAGGGCTCCACCTGGGCGCAGCCACCTCCTGCAGGGGTGTTCTCCAGGATGAGCGGCGGGAAGGGGCGGGAGACGGCACCCCGTGGACCCTGTGAGTGCACCACAGCCTTCTCCAGCCGCTCCGCACCGCATGGAGGCCTGAACGCCAGGGGCGCTGACCAGACCCGACCCGGCGCTGCCCTCGAGTACTGCCAGAGAGAAAACGCGAGCCTAGTGGCCCCCCGCTTCGCGGCTCAGCCAGGGCGAGCAGGCGCTCCCACTGGGGGCGAGCTCCGCCCACCGCAGTCACAGGGCTCGCTCAGAGGCAGGGCCTCGGCCACGTCCTGGCCAACAGCGAGGAGAAGCCCGGCTCCCCACCCCCCAGCACCGACCTCTGGCCTTGTGAAAGTAGCGGAGGTCCAGGTGCCCACGCACAGACGAGCCAAACTAGGACGTCCAGGACAAGGATCCCCCCCCCCCCCAATCCCCGCCACGGTTCTTAAAAATCAGGCAAACTTGGAAAAGACTGTCCTAGAACAATCTTTTAGCGGTTGCTGCAGGTGCCCTGGGGCTCTGTGGTTCGGGCTGTCCAGGCCGGGCCCAGGGTAGAGCTGCTACGTGCGGGAGGGGGCAGGCGCCCCCGGGCAGAGGCGATGCTGGGGGATGCGGTTAGCAGCAGGGCGCCCTCTGCCCCCTCCTTCGCCTTGGAGGGCGGTGGCGCTCCCTGGGAGAAGAGCCGCCTGCCAATCAGCACCCCGTTCCAGATGATTTGCGTGGGAACTCAGCTTGTGTGTGAAGCGCTGCGATTTGGGCTTATTTGTTTCGGAGAAACCACTGAAACCTGCACAGCTTCACACCCACCCCAGTCACTCTCCTCTTTCTCCCACAGGGCTCCTGGGAATTCTGGTCCCCACCTGCTGGGCTGGAACTGCTGCCTTCTGCCCCCTGCTGGTGGGTGGTTGGAAAACACCTGGTAGTACCCGAGCCGCGCGCCTGAAATGACCCAGCGGGTAAAGGCAGGTGCCGGCGCTCTGGGGACCCGCCTCCACAGAGGGCTGGGGCCGCAGGGCCCGGAGTGTCCTCGGAGGCCTCGGTCTCTTTCAACGTACACATTGACCTTTCTGTTGGAAACTCTTTCTGCAGAGGCGTAGCCACGCGGCGGGCTGCCCCCTGGTGGCGGATGTCCGCAATAGCAGGTGCATTTCAAAATCAGCTTGGAGAGGGTTTTAAAATTTGTTTTGTTTTTGACAGGACTCTCTTCCGTCTCTTAGCCTGGAAACACGGAGACATCCCCTCAGACCAGGCTGGACATTTTAGATACTTGTTTTCCAAAAAAGAATGGAGACATCTGATTTCTGTTTGGGAGAGTATTGTGTATTCCAACAACAGCAAGTCAGAGGAAGCACAAACACACAGCCTGTCTCTAGGCACAGACAGCTGAAGTCGCAGGGGGACCAGCTAAGCCCCAGATCTAAGGAAGAACCGGTGCCCCGGAGAGGTGGCTGTGAGCTCAGGCGGGGACTCAGCTGGACCCCAGTAGGAAGAATTCAACTAAAGTTGTTAAATTGCTAGGAGTGTACTGGTGAAATAACACGGAACCCTGAGGGGTGAGGATACAAAGCAAACTTGTGTGCACCTGCAGGCTCCTCACCACAGGACCCATTCTCGCGCTCACAAAAGACTGGCAAGAATTCCAAGAAGGCTCCTCCACAGATTTTTCTGTCCTGTCTCTGCTGGGGGTGGGGGTGGGGGCCAGGGCAATGTCTGTCATTCTGACGAGTGTCTGTCTCAGGCAGGCGCGGAGTCCTGGACTGTGGGAGGAAGGGGAGCTCTCCCAGCTGTCCTGATTCAAACCTGGACACGAAGACTCGCGGAAGGAAAGGCGATTCACTCAGCCTTTCTCGTCCTGCTGAAGACGTTCGGCTTCCAACAAGACAAAACAGTGAGGCTGACGAAGACACGGAAAGGCCAGCACGTGTACGGGAGACCATATGACACAGGTGTTGAGGCCGTCGGATGGGGAATCTAGCACACCTGACTGGCGTGTTACCGAGGCTGACAGGGAAGGTGATGCCTCACAGGATCTGATGTTTGATTTCAGCAGAGAGAACAGTTCTGTAGGGGAATCGAGGGGAAAGCTAGGAACGAACAAACTGATATGGACAAAGGATGACTGTGAGTGGCTGATCAGTTGGCTTTACACAGCTGAGAAGAGAGACTGCGAACATCAGCTACGCCAGTAGAAATTACCCAAACTGGAAGGAAAAAGGTGGGGGACGGAGGTGAGAAATCCAACAGAACACCCAAGAGCCTCGGGACAACATTGAGGTCGGTGTAAACACAGTCCCAGAAGGAGAGAGAGAGAACAGGACAGACGGCATTTTTCAAAAATCAGCATCAAATATTACCATAAATCCAAGAGAACACCAAACAGCAAAATTCCTGTGCACGGCTTCTTAAAACATTTGAAAATCAAAGACAAAGGAGAAATCTTCAAGGCAGCCATAGAAAACAGGCACCTTATATATAGACAAAGACAGAACTACAGCAGACTTTTCATGATCAAGTAGGTTGGAAGATAACGGAGTAATTTATTTAAAGTGCTGAAAGAAAACACCTGCTAACAGAGTTCTGTATACAGCTAAGCTATCAGTGAAATGGAAGGGTAAATAAGACTTTCTCAAATAGAAACAAGCAAATCCACTGTCTGAACAGCTACCTGCACCACAGGAAATGTTCAAGGAAATTCATCAGGAAGAAGATATTTACTACAAGAAGAAACTTGGATTTATACAACTAAGAGTGATGGAAATGGAACAAACATGAAAAGAAAATGCAATGCAGTTTTTCTTTTAAAAATTGCTCTGGGAAGTCCCATTCTACAGTGAGGATGGTAGCAGTGTGTCAAGTCTTTATGGCAGATGTAGAGAGGTTTTCCACTCTTGTTCTATTTTTTTGTTCCTATTTCGTTTCTCTCTCGACAGGCAGAGTGGACAGTGAGAGAGAGAGACAGAGAAAGGTCTTCCTTTTGCCGTTGGTTCACCCTCCAATGGCCGCCGCGGCCGGCGCATTGTGCTGATCCAAAGCCAGGAGCCAGGTGCTTATCCTGGTCTCCCATGTGGGTGCAGGGCCCAAGTACTTGGGCCACCCTCCACTGCACTCCTGGGCCACAGCAGAGAACTGGCCTGGAAGAGGAACAACCGGGACAGAATCCAGCGCCCCGACCGGGACTAGAACCAGGTGTGCCGGCGCCGCAAGGCGGAGGATTAGCCTATTGAGCCACAGCGCTGGCTCAGATGTAGAAGTAAAATGATAATGGTAGCACAAATGGTGCAAGGAGGGGACTGGGAACACACAGGTAATGTTCTCACACAACACACGGAATAGAATAATATTACTTGAAAATAGAATTTTGTCATTAAAGATGTTTACTGGGAAACCACCAACAATTAGAATGGAAATTCAATAATAAGTCAACAATAGAGATAATAAAACCATTAAAAAGCTCCATTAAGCCAAAATATAATGAAAGGGAAAAAAAAGGAAGAACAAACAGATGGAACACATAGAAAAGAGCTAGGAAGATGGTAGATTATTTAATCCAACCTTACCACTAATGCTATTAAATGTAAATGGCCAATATGCCAACTGGAAGATGACAGTCAGTTTGCATAGAAAGTATACGCGTTGTGCAAGAACCCCATTACAAATATGAAGACACGGGCTGGCGCTGTGGCCTAGTGGGTAAAGCTGCTGCCTGTAGCACCGGCATCCCATATGGGTGCCGGTTTGAATCCTGGCTGCTCCACTTCCAATTCAGCTCTCTGCTGTGGCCTGGGAAAGCAGTAGAAGATGGCCCAAGTCCTTGGGCCCCTGCACCCGCAAGGGAGACCCAGAAGAAGCTCCTGGCTCCTGGCTTCGGATCAGCGCAGCTCTGGCCGTTACGACCATCTGGAGAGTAAACCAGCAGATGGAAGACCTCTCTGTCTCTCTGCTTCTCTCTCTCTAACTCTGCCTTTCAAATAAAATAAATCTTAAAAAAAAAAAAACCAAGCAAATATAAAGACACACATGGGTTAAAAGATATTCACTAATAATAAAAAAGAAAACTCTGGGGTATCCATGCTAATCTCAGATAAAGCAGACTCCAGCCGAGGACTGTCACTAAACAGAAGAGGAACGTGACGCTATGATAATGGGTTGTTCTCTAAGAGGACATAGTGATATGTGTGGGCGTGCTCCAACAGCATGCTTCAAAGTGCACATGGAGCAAATACAGTAGGCTCCCTTTATCCACAGGGATGCATCCCCAGACTCCCAGCGGACGCCTGAAACAGCGGCTGGTGCTGCCATCTATATACGCAAGTGTATCACAGCCGGAGACTTCACCCTTCTCTCAGCATCGCGAGAGCAAGTAGAGGGGAGAAAGTAAGCACACAGAAGCATCAGTCTGATGTAAAGAGCTGAACTACAGTATCAGAGAACTTGGACTCGTTGACATTTGGCGAACTCAGCAAGAGCAGAATTCACATTTTTTCCCCCAATTTCCATGGACCGTTCACCAAGATAGAACGTAGTGTTCACTAATCTTAGCACATTTAGAATAGAAGTCATAAAACGTTTGTTCTCAAACCATCACTGAATGAAACTATAAATCAGTTGCAGGGGCTGGTGTTGTGGCCTAGTGAGCTAAGCCGCTGCCCGTGACGCCAGCATCCCATACTGGGGCGCCAGTTCAAGTCCTGGCTGCTCTGCTTTGATCCAGCTCTGTGCTAACAAGCCTGGGAGGGCAGCGGAAGGTGGCCCAAGTACTTGGGCCCCTGCCACCCACGTGGGAGCATTTCCAGATATTTGGAACTTATAAATAACAAGCTTCTAATTAATCCACGGGGTCAGAGGAATCCTCAAAGGAAATTGTAAAACATTTGAGCAGAATGGAAATGAAAATATAACACATCAAAACTGTGTGGTGCAGCTTCAGCAGTGCAAAGGGGGAAATGCACAGTACTGAAATGCATAATTAGATCAGATGTAATAAGCTAAATTTCTGCCTTAAATTTAGAAAAAGAATAAGCTCAAGAAAAAGAACAGCAAAGCAAACACAAAGCAAGGAGGAAAAGAGGAGCAATAAAGAGGAGAAATCAATGAAACGGAAAGTAAATAATAGACAAAAATCTATGAAACCAAAACTTGGTTCTTAGGAAGGCCAATTAAGAGAGTGGCTTATCCAAACCACTGCCCGTGTCTTTATTTTAAGTAGTCAGGAACACTCGTAAATTAGGCTTTCTAATCATTTTAGGCCTTTAATATTACTGCTACTCGATGTATGTTTATCACATTCTAAGAGCAATTAAAAATTAAAGTTTCTATCGTGAGGTGATTAAAGAACTGGCAATTGTAAGAAACAGTACAGAGGGGTGCTGTGACTGTGTCACCCCGTTTTCTCCAATGGCAGCACCTGTTTAACTGCAGACACAGTATCACAACCGTGGCAGTAACCTCGAGATAGTCCACCGCTCCTATCCAGACTACACCAGTGTTACAGGCATTCATCTTGTGTGTGTGTGTGTGTGTGTGTGTGTGTGTGTGTGTGTGTGAGAGAGAGAGAGCGCGCGAGAGAGCGCAAGCGCGCATTTAGGCCTCATTGTATTGCATTCATACAGGGACACAGCTGGGCCAGTTTGGTGTCTGATAAAGAAGTGATTCTGTGGGATGGGAGAGGGAGCGGGGGATGGGAGGGTTGCAGGTGGGAGGGAGGTTATGGGGGGAAAAAGCCACTGTAACCCAAAAGCTGTACTTTGGAAATTTATATTTATTAAATAAAAGTTAAAAAAAGCAATTCTGCATAAAAATCACTATTTTGGATATTCTGAGAGGTATTCAGAAAGTTTATGGAGAATACATATTATGAAAACTATATTAATTTAAACATTTTTGGTACAAAATAAACTGATCTTTTAATTGAATTTTCCATGAACTTGTCCATGAGCTTTTTGCAGTACCTACATATATTACCAAAATTATAGTATAAAAGTCATTTAAGTGGAACATTTAATACTATTGATGATATATTTAGGTAAATTTCTGCTTAAAAATGGATTGGCTTGGTTTATTGTAAATGAATGTGGTACGAAAAAGCATGGTTTGTGAAATGTATGGGGAGTGAAATACAGTCATCGATTTGGCCTGTGGAAGATGAAAAGCGAGCTTAGCAGCCGAGGTACCTGTGAGTTAAGCATGGAAAACAGACTCCTAACTGTGCGGCCTGCCGGGCAGAACTGCTCTGTTCGGCCACACACCTGGCCTGTTTGTAAGCAGCAACAGACAAGGTTACAAGGTGTGAAGATCCTTGGGGCGCACGGGTGCCACCTGCCCTGAGTCGTCCTGCCAGAAGTCAGCAGGCTGGGGACGCCAGCCCTGAGTTTGGGGCACACACTGACACTGACATGCACAGTGGGCGCGTCTGAGCTGCCTCTGTCAGAGGCTCGAGGTCGGTTGTCCCTGGAGGCCTGGCCTGTGAAGGGAGGGCGGTGGCAGGCACTTTTCTGTAAAGCACTGGCTGGTACCCACTTGGGGTGCTGCAGGTCAAACAGTCTCAGTGGCTGCTCCTCAACCCTCCACCGGAGCGCAAGAGCCCGGGAGGCAAAGTGTCTGCGTTCCACGTTGATCAACAAACGTGGGCGGTGGCTCACAGGAGGCCAGTGCCCACTCTAGAAAGACACCCCCATCTTTTTTTTTTTTTTTTATCAAATTTACACGGCGGCCTAATAAGACCCATGTTAACTATGGATACACACGGGAGGCTGCAACGGTGAAGGCTGTTCAAAGGCAGTGGGGTTATTCATTTCCTGAGTCTTTCACATTGGTTTTGCCAATGCAAACATTTACACACGCCTTTGGTGGCCTTAAGCAAAAAGCATCATTGCTGGGTGTGCCCACTGGGGGGTGTCCACATTCAGCTTCCAGCTTCTGCCCTGCCACCCTGCCGCGTCCCCTCCCAGGGTGCCCCGCGGAGCTGGAGAAGGGCTTACCTTGTTCTCTTTGTTGGTCTCTCTGCTCCATGGACACCAGGGCAGAGAAATGAGCTTGATCGTAGGCCAGAACCAGAGGCGAGCAGTGGCATCTGTTGGGAGGGACCTCCAAGGGCAGGTAAATCCCCCCGAAGGGGATGGGTGCGAACGCTGCCAACACAGACAAGGGGGGGCTGTGAGGAGCAGGGCTCTGCAGCGACAAGGTGGCGGCAGAGGGAAGGGAGCCGTGACAGCGCGAGGAGCGGGCTCTGGCTGGCAGGGCTTGTGGAGGGCTCATGACTCTTGCCAGGGTGCACCTTTACATTTAAGTGGGGCTGAAGGGACACGTCACCGGGGACTCTGTGTCTGTCGATCTGTCTCTCCTAGCAAGGCGAGAACTTCTGTGGACAGGGCCATCTTACAAAAGGGCTGAAAGGGGAAATGTGGCACCAAGAGAGAACTGGCTCAGGCTGGTGACAGACGTGAAAACAAACAGGGCGAGCTGAGAGCCAGGAGGAATGCCCGGTGAGGAGCAGGTGCAATGGGGCCGGGGGTGTCCCTCATTGCCTTCCTGGGCACATCGTCCCTGGCTCTTTCCCAGCCAGCGTGCGCTCTGGAAGGCTGTGGGGATGGCTGAAGCCGGGGCATCTGCAAACACGCGCAGTGCTGGGCTCTTGCCCTGTCAGCTCTGACCCGACCACAGCCCTGCCCAGTGACTCCATGCTGGCTCCCCGCCTTTCCTCTTTCACACATGTGCCTGCAAAAAGGTGCACTCTGCTGCACTCAGCCCACCACGGGGGCCAGGAGCCCCTCTGGGCTCAGCCCTGGCTGGCTCAAGGCCAGATTTCCCATGGCCACTTGCTACTGCCATGCAGGCCAAGAGGAATCGCTGCCTCCACCAGGAAGGAAAAGGAAACCGTCACCTAGAGGAACTGAGCAGAGAACGCATCCTGTGTGTGTGGGGTGGCGCTAGCTGGCCCTCATGTGTGCTGTCTGCTCCCAAGCTGGGAGGCTGTGCTTTGGGGGGGGGGTCACAAGGGAAATGCCTGTCTTCGAGGAACTTACCTTCCCCCCCTGAGTCTCTCAACATCGTATCCGCCACCACGACAATCGGTCTTCTTAGTATGTGCGCGAGGACGAAAACGTGGAACTCCTCCAGGCTCTCGTACACGGGGTCTTCAGAGTTATCCACGCTAGGGAACGAAACAGGGGGCGCTGTCACGGCACCGAATTAGGAAGGGGGTGGGGAAAGCAGAGACCACCCTGCTGAAACCCCCCCGCCCCCGCCACGTCTGAGGTCGGAGTGCATGGAGCCCAGCAGCCTCATCCTGCCGGGCCGCCCCTCCCCCACGCCATGCACCCCTGGAGTCCCTGCTCCCACTCCCCAGCAGGACACGCGTCGTCGGGGAGAAGTGGCAGGGCTGTGGGCACCCAGGGGCTGCTTCTCTCAACAAGGATGCAGGAGGGTCTGCAGGGAGGGAGGCTTCTTCTGTTCATTTCTACCCACCGCGACGCAGGTGAAGTCTGTCCCTGAGGGACCTGGATGCTCAGGCCTGCCTGATGGGCTGGGGGGGGGGGTCCACTGGGACAGCGACCTGGGCCCGCCTCTCAGGGAAGTGGCAGAGGGCAGGGTTTCCATCTCCGAGTGGGAGGGGAGGGCCTCTGAGTGTGGCTCCGCTACTCATCCCGTGCCCAGCCTGGGCCCCTACAGGCTTGATGGCCCTCAACAGGGCCCCCCCGGGAGGAGGGGAGGTCCAGAGCTCATAGCGGGATGAGGCCTCGGCTGCATCACAGCGCCAGCTGAGGGGGCAGTGCCCAGCCATGGCCCCTGAGGTGGCCCTTGGGGATGCCTGGCGTTCACTGAGAGATCTGTGAGGACTGCGGCGGGTGGGGCCAGAGCCAGCAAACACAGCCTCTGCACCATGGATTCAACCGTGGATGGGAAATACTGCGCAGCAGAAATTCCAGAAAATTCCAAAAAGCAAAACTTGAATGTGCCCCACACTGAGGACTGCGCTGAACCCACTGGAGTGAAGTGATGTGCGGTTGGGCTCTGTGTTAGGAATCACAGGTACTCTAGAGGTGATTTCAACTCCACAGGATGGTGTGCAAATGCCATGCTGTTTCATATGAGGGACTTGGCTTGGGTTTTGGTATCCACAGAGGTCCTGGGACCAGTCCCCTGGGGGGCATTTAGGGACCTGTATACACACGTGTGTGTGTGTCCAAGTCAAACACGCTGCTCCTGTGTACACCTTTTCAAACATTCCAGGTGGTTACCCTGCTCAGTCACAGCCCAGAGCCAAGATGCTGGTGTTTGGGGGTGGGGCCAGATGCTTCCAGAAGTTGCTTGTTCATCCCTGTCACACAGTGCGCACTCACTGACTGCCAGGCAAGTGGATGGCTGAACACGGTGACAAGCAGCACACAGGGGAGAGAATGTGGAGTTACAACCTGCACACTCAGGGAGAAAAACGCCCTGCTGGGGAAGCCAGGGTGTGGATCCTCATGGCTGGACATGAGCAACAGTGATGGGGTGCTGGGTCCAGCTGCAAGAAGACTGTGAGGACAGCTCACAGCAGAGCGGCCTCTGTCCACCCCAGGTTTGGTGCTGAGCATGGGAGCCATCTAAGCAACTGAGAACCTGCTCAATGACCTATGGGGTGGCATAGGGATCCCCACTCCAACTGGGCCTTCAGTATCACAGCGCCCTTCACTGCTTGCTTCCAGCTGCTTCTTGAAGGCTTAGGGTGGGTCCTGGTTCTGTGTTCTCCCCTCAGTACTGCAGCTGTGCCCTGGTGCTTCTGGGAGCCTCTGTATTGAAAGTGGCCAGAGAACACTGGCTCTGCTCATCCTCTGTTCCTTTGAGGGGCTGCTGGGATCCTGTCTGGGATGAGGATGTGGTACCATGACCTGCACATGTGGATTACTGCAGTGAGAACCTATGGGTGGAAGTCTGCTCCCGTGAAGTCAGTCCTGAATGTTCACTCCCAGTTACAGCCTGGAGGCTGCACATCTTCCTTCTGCTAGCTCACTGAGCAAAGGCTAGACCTGGGAGTGTGAATAAAATCTAGCCTCAAAGAAAAGATAAAAAATATTCTTGGGACCCGCATTGTGGCAGAGCAGGTAAAGTCACTGCCCGTGATGCCGGCATCCCACATGGGCACTAGTTTGTGTCCTGGCTGCTCTACTTCTGATCCAGCTCCCTGCTAATGGCCTCGGAAAAGCAGCAGAAAGAGGCCCTCCTGCCATTCACACAGGAGACCCGGCTGAAGCTCTTGGCTTTGGCCTGGCTCAGACTTGGCCACTGTGGCCATCTGGGGAGTGAACCGTGGATGGAAGATTTCTCTTTGCTTCTCCCTCTCTCTCTAACTCTGATTTGCAAACAAGTAAATAAACTTTTTGAAAACAGTTTTGCAATGCTTAATCATTGGTGTTTACAGCGAAGAAGACAACATGTGACGTAAGGATTTTGCCCTTGGTGATGTGCATGCCCTGCGTACCTCCTAACAGGTCCTGTGCCACACGCTGGGCCCAGTGCACCTGCCTCTGTGTCTCCTCTGTGTGCCTGGGGGGTTGATCCTCAGGAACAGGGGTGCCCCATGTCCCCTGTGAAGATGTCCTGATGAGAGGGACTCTGGAAAGAGGCCAGGCTGGGGAGCCCTGCCCGACAGCAGCAAGAAGCAAAGGCCAGGGCGTGAGGCCCGGAGGTGTCTCTGTTCCAGAGGACAGTGGCAGTGTCAGATCTAGGGGTGCCCTGGCTTAAGCAGTAGCCACAACCCTGCTGGATCACTCTTAGCAAGAGGCCAGGCCCTGGACAAGGAGCTCAAAGGGCAAAGGGCCCTGGGCAGTCACCCAGCCACTTACCTGGCCCTTCCTTATGTCCCCTCCTGCAGGTGAGTCGACCACACCTCCCATTTTGCTCAGGGAAGTCCTGCTTTTTGCATTCTGAGTGATCGGTACCACCTCCCCTTCCCCAGGGAACCATGCTGGATGTTAAGTGGCAGCTACCCCATGCACAGGAACAGGCACTGGTTTTAAGAGTTCACTTGTGTGTGTGAATAACCACACAAATGGATCTAATATGTCCATATTTCGGCTGTTTACACTTGGCTCCCACATACCTCTGCACGAGGGTAGAGAACTGCATTCTCTCTTGTGATCCTTGCTTTCCCTGGCCCCTGGGTGTCCCAACCTGAGACTGCCCCCGCCCAGTGCACGGGGAGGCTCCCTCTTTCCTCGCAGCTGCACAGTTCCCCTCTGTGGTGGAGTGAGAAGTCCATGCCAAGATGGCCACTGGCATCAGAAACTGCCTGGCAACAGGGTGTGATTGGTTAGGGCATAGACCGCCCCTTGACCAGATTGGCTGCCTTGGCTATATAAGCTGCTGTAGCAACTGAAATAAACAAGTCTGCAGGCTGCTTGCCTCAGGCCTGCTTTCTCCCGACTCCCGGGGTCTGTGTGGTGACTCAGCGCCTCTTGCCCCCACCACGCTCCTCCTCTCAGAAACGAATCCACAGCAACATCCCTCATGCAGAGTTTGCACCAGTAGTGTGACTCACCGCCCCCCATCCCTGCAGGACCTCGCACAGAGGATGCTCATAGGGGCTGATGCCAGCTTGTACTCTGCAGGGCCCCAGCACCCCACCACAGTGGCAGCTTTTGAGATTCTCTGCAAAGGCTCAGTGCAGGAAGCACGGTCCTGCCAACACCTGTGACCTGAGAGGCACGGATGGAGGATTGGGGGCCTCCTGGCTCAGAAGGGATCCGGTGGGCCTGAGGCTCTGGATCCTTCTCAACAATGGCCAGCAGGGTCTGAGGGTGAGGATCCATCTTATTGTTCAGAATCAATAAGCTGGGGTCATCAGGTGGCAGATAATCACTGATTATCTCTCATGGGTCTAGCATTTTGCTGGGTGTTTTATGTGTGTGTGTGTGTGTGTGCACTTGTGCACGTGTGTGCCCACAAATAAGGACAGTGAATGGATGGCCAAAGCATAAACTGCCAGTTATTATTAAGCACAGTAATAAAAAGTGGCCTCCTTAGGTACGGAGGCCCAGGAAGGCTCCTATCAGAGAATCATCATTAGATAAAGAGTTGGCTTCGGTCTCATTTTCAATTAGAAGTGTTTTTAAAACTTTGACCTGGATTCCACCTCTGCAACACGAGGGCTCTTCCTGCTCGCATGGACGGGAGTCTGCACTGTGAGGAATGCCCCCGAGAAGGCCGCCTTTTCCACAGGAGGCCAACCCCATGCCCTGGGGACGCCCCAGCTGTGGAGTGGGCTCCTCCCGGGAATGGAATGCCACTTGGGTTTCCTGGAAAGATCCACTAAAACTACTGTCTCTGACACTGTGCACTGGGAAATCATTTAGGTTTCTGGTGGTTTCTGAAAAAGGCCAATAAAAAATGCAGCAAATGCAATGCCAATGAAATCAGACACTGGATTACAAAGGGAAAGAACAATGAGAAGCAAATGAGAGAAGCCGGGAGCTGCGACAGAATCGTGGGGACGGACCTAAAATGGCCCCACTGGCTCTGCGTGCGCTCTCTCAGTCCTAGCCTCTCAGCTTCCACTTAACCTGGCTCATCAAAGAGAGAACAAGCTCTTCCTTTAAAAGGTCAAAGAACAAAGATGATGATCTTCACTGCCAATCCCAGGAGAAGTCGATTCTTCCTCCGAGCTGTTTTACATTCACCAAGGTGAGGGCTGGGTTCAGACTCTGCTCTTGTGGGCTGTGGGTCCCTGAGAACTGTCCTGTCGTGGTTAATTTTATGGTCGACTTGTCTGGGCCATGGGATGCTCAGATACCTGGTTTAATGCTGACTCTGGCAGAGACTGGCACCGGATTGGTGGACCCAGTAAAGCTGAAGGAGTTCCAATGTGGGCGGGCCTCACCCCATCCATTCAGCATCGGAAGGCTCAATCACTTGGCTGGGGTGCTTGAGCTGGGGTGTCCGTCTCCATCTGCCCTCCACGATCCTCATCCTCAAGCCTCCAGACACCATCAGCTCTCAAGCCTTGGAACTGCCCCTGGGCCTTTGCGAGGAATCCGACCAGCAGGGGGCAGATCATGGGACTTCTCAGCCTCGGTAACCGTGTGGGCCAATCCCTAATCCTAACTCTCCTGGAATGTGTACATGTGACCTCTGTTGGTTCTGCTTCTCTGGAGAACCCTGACACGAGGTGCT